ATGCTGGGTGTAGTGCAGTGCAGTAGATCTCCACAATGATTATTTCAGATTAATGAAGGAAGGTCTGTCTTGCTGTCTTTCCGATCCTGGCTTTGACGTCCTCATCTGTGACTGTGCCGTCGTCTGTAGTTGAAACGATGCTGCCTAGGTAGGTGAAAGAGACTACTTCCTTTAGGTGTCTCCCGTTCATGGTGATCGGTGCCTGTTGTTGTTGGTTGGGTATCTTCACCACCCCTGTCTTCTCCGCGTTCACTTGAAGTCCTGTCTTCGCTGCCCTGTCTCTTCAGTCAACTTGTTAGTTTTCGCCTGTAGCTCTTCGAGTTTGTGCAACACTAGACATAAATCATCATCATTGGCGAAATCCAAATCTTCTAGGGTCTTTTCATCGGTCCAGCCAGCGTATACCCATCTTCTCGCTCCTCACAGTTTCTTGCATGATCCAGTCCAGTTCAGTCGACCACAATCAGGAAGATCATCGGTGATAGTAGACAACCTTGTCTTACTCCTTCCTGTCTTCACTTCAAAGCCATCATTGAGCTTTCCATTGCGAATCACTTGGCATGTAGCATCATATAGCACATAGCCGTTGAATGAGGTTGGTAAGGTTTTGTGGCACTAAAACCGTGGTGTTGAAGCAGTCGCCAAACTATATCTCGGTCAACGCTGCCTAAGGTCTTTCCAAAATCGATGAAGTTGAGGTTAAGATCCAGTTGACTGCTATTCTATGCTCTGTTCTATGATGATGTGTAGCGAAGCGTTGCATTTTGGTCCGCAAATGATTTGTTCTTCCTGATTCCAGTTGTAATTTTGAATCTCTCCAAGATGATGCGGCTTAATATTTTGCTCGGGGTGGACAGTGGTGGGGCATGATTCCGCGTCAGTTCTTGAAAAGACTTAGGTCTCCCTTCTTTGAAAGTTTGACAACCTGCAGGTACCTTATCTTCCTTCCCTGCAAACCTTCTGAAATAGTGGTATGAGCATGTCCGCTGTTGTCTATGCTTGTTTTCAGTGATTCTGGAGGAATTTCGTCTGACCCTGCTGCTTTCCCAGATCTGAGTAACTTTATGGAGTCCAAGATTTCACTTTTGCTTTTGTCGAAGGATCTGTGTTAACCGATAGTTCTGTGGCTGGGCTTCTGGTGATATTTCTGGACGAGTTGCAGATAGTGGTGGTGGTCGATTCAAGGGTTTGTTGAAGTGGTCAGCCCATCCTTTCCTTTGTTTCTCCTCTCTCTTTTGTAACTGGGTTCCCTTCACTATCATTGGTTTCATCTGTGTTGATCTCTTCCCTCCCAGATAGCAGTAACCTGGTTATTTGATATAATGTTGTCAGGTCTCTGTCTCTCTTACCTGTAGCCTGTTCTGCTTCGCTTGCCAATGTGTGTCGTAGAAGTGTCTTCTGTGTTTGCGCGCACTCTACTTCACTTCTTTGTCCAGTGTAGTGTTGTATAAGTTGTGTCTAGTTCCTCTTTTCGTTGTTCCTCCTTGCCCTGGTCTATCTTTTGCTTCGCCATCTTCCTCTTCCTTCTCTATCAGCTTCCATGTGTCTGTCGAGATTCATCCCTTGTCTTGCTTCTTCTTCCTTCCTAGCACGGTCATGCAGGTTTCCTTCCATGTCGCTTTCAAAGAGTCCCAGTGTTCTTCCACGCAGGTTTATTCGGGGATGTTGCTTAATGTCTCCAATTTTTTCCTGGTGACTGACTGATGTGAAGATGTCCTTTGTAGTTTCATCCTTCAGTTTTTGTTCTGAGTGTTGAACTTGAACTGTGGTCTATCACCAACTTCTTTCATGGCTTTCAACTTGATTTTGAAGGCAGGTTCCTTGCACTAGATAGTGGTGAGTGGTGTGAACCTACATCTGCTCCCCTTCTCGATCTTGTGTCCAGTAGACTGCGTCTCCACTTTCTTCACATTGAAATGAAGTCGATCTGATTTTTAGTCTGTCCTGGTGTCTGGTGAAATCCATGTCGCTTTGTGAAAATCCTCGTGCTTGTACACACTGCCTCCAATCACCAAATCGTTGAATGCACAGAATTCTGCAAACGATTCTCCATCCTCGTTCATTTCACCTAGCGCCTCTCAGCCCACGGTTAGCTTGGCATTCATGTCACCCATTCGAATTTTGATGTCGCCATTTGGGATGGGCTCTTGTCGACTACTGATTGCAGTTGTCTTTAGAATTTCTCCTTCTTCTCTTCATCTGCATTATTTGTAGGTGCATAGCGTAGCATTGTATGTTTGTGAGTTTCCTTTCTTTTGAGTTGAATCTTGCTGTCGTGATCCTGATGCAGGAGGAGATTGGTTCCCACTGCATGAGAACCTTCAATGCTCTTGAGGACATCATGATAGTCACTCCAAAACTCAGTGTACTCGTGATTGTAGTCTGGGTGACAATATCGGGGTAGATTATTGACTCCTCTCCATCCCATCTGCTTTCGCAGATTCCTAGCACTTCCATGCTACACCTTCTCATCTCTTTTGCAATCTGGGCAGCCCTGTCAGCCAGCTTCAAACATTGTTCGGATATTCCATGTCTCCATCCTTACTTTCGCTTTCATCGAGAGAAGAGAAGACACATCGGCCAGTTGGCTTCCCGAAGGCTTTCACCAACTGGCGTCATTTCGCCTCTCCGATTCCAGAGAGGAATAAGTTTAATTTTATGTTTTATATTTTGTTTGTGCTTTGAAGTTTCTTTAGCGATTGAATTGGTTTTCCGGGTTAGGGTTGCTAGCCTTACTCCCAAGCTCCCCTCTTTGTCCGGTCTTAGGATCAGCTAGTCAATTAGTGAACTAGTAAACCAGGCGAGGTTTTTTGGAATGTATGGCTGAGAAAATGAGTCATCGAAAGGATAATTACCCTCACTGTAACCTCTTCACTGTTTTTCACATCACAATTAATTTTCGTTACAAATTCAGGCTTATTATCACTTTTTTTAGTCCCTGGTGATGATCGTAAGTGGAGTGATAGCCTGAGTGACAGCAGGAGTGAAATCTGTGAACTACAGATACCAGCTGAACTAGGAGATCAGCATACTGGTTACGCCTTCACTCCAATCCCCAAAGTTGTGTTCGACTGTCATGTGATTGCAGTGAAGTTAAGACCTCTCAACTCCAATGGTTGAATATCAAGCCAGTATCCAGATGCTACTGGTTCCAATGATGCCATGTGTCAATCTTTTATTCCACCTTCAATCATCATCTAGTATCAGTAACACCAGTCTGTCAATCTATAGGTATTTAGATAGTCTCACTAATAAACAGTTTTAAGAAAAAGAACAAACGAATATAAATGGAATGTATACTCCATTGACAGTAAACACTATCTTCCAGATAAGAAGTATGCAACTGAGGGTCTTAAGTAGGTTTGAATATTTCTGAAAACCAGGTGTAGGTTCTTGTCCATCTACGAAAGGGATTTCCAACAAACTACAGACATTCATGAACAACTGCCTACGCTGGCTCGTTACTGAAGATCAGATCAAATGACCAGAAAGAATAAGCAACAGAGAACCCTGGTCTGACAACAAACCAACCAAGAACCTATCGCCCAACAAATATACAGAGGAATGAAGTGAATATGGATTGGATTGGACATACACTGAGAAGACTATTCGGGGACATCACGTGCCAGGCCAGGCAGGCCCTCGAGTGGAACCCGAATGGGAAACGACGAGTTGGGCGTCCGAGGTGAGGGTGACCTGGAGAAGATAGTGTGAGGAAGAAGTGAAAGCTTGTGGGCTGTTGTGGAGCCAGGTTAAGAAGACTGTAGAGGAGAGAGTGAAATGGCGACGTGTTACTGAAGCCGTATGTTCCACTAGGAACCCAAGGGACAAATAATAATAATAATAATAGGTGTAGGTTCTTGTCCATCTACAAGAGATGGACCCATACGTTGTAATAGTATGTAAGTTGTTTTGAGAGAAAAAAGGAATCATATCTACATGTGATTGATTTGACATGCTGCGACCATCTCATACCATTTCACCATCTCATCAGGAAAACACGTGATATCCACCACTAAACCCTTCAAGAAAGTTCACTCTTAAACACCTAGGAAAATATACAAAATGCTTTTGTATATGTGTATACATGTTTCATATTATACATATGAATGTGGATTTTTAATTCAGAGGTAGTATTCACCACAGAGTAACACCATTTTGGGGACCAATGAAAACCTAGGAGCAATGGAAAGTCATTTCGTCTTAATATGGGACTCGTCAGCAGCACGCACTATACTGTGAGCTAACAGAAGGTGGAAACCGTGAACCGCTGAAAACCGACCGAGTGGCTGAATGGTTAACGCTTTTTGCCTTGACACCTCAAGGTCCTGATTTTGATCCCTAGCCGGGTCGTGAGGGTGTACTTCTGAGCAGTCCCTTACCAGGATGAAACAGTTGTCCAGTGATCCAAGGTTTTCAACAGTTCCCTAACTAATGTCAGTCCGTGATGAGTACTACCTTTGTATATATATATATATATATATATCTATATATCTATATATATATATATATATATATATATATATATATATATATATATATATATATATATATATGCGTGAGTGAACATCCTTCTGTATATAAGAAATCTCCCGGTAAAATGAACTCTTTATAACACTGTAGACTATAATAACCAATGGTAGTGCTTAAATTATACGCCCACATATGCAAACACGTACATATGCATATATATATGCATACAATTCACGAAATATATATAAATGCGTACAAAGAAAATATGCACACGGTAGGAAGCATTGACTGATTGACGCCATTATTTAAATTTCTAAAATCAATTGATTAACCAGCCATTTCGTGAACTGTATGCACATATATATAATTCAACTTGAAAGGATTGACGAATTAATTCACGTTATTACTCATTCAAAATCATTTGATTACTGTTTATAAAACCTGACATTATTACAAAGAATCAAATCTGTTCAATCAAAATTATTTTCCTCAGTTCACAAGGAAAACAGGAATTTCTAATTTACTTTCATTATTTATTCAATGTATATCAACGAAAAGGCGAATGTACATTATGGCGTGAAATGTTGATAGACTTTATCGAATAATGTAGGCTATTCTAATTGAAATGTTAATCTCAATCATCTAACAATAAGGTATTGTTATAATAATTAATTATTACTATTATAACAATCATTTATAGTGTAATATGTTGAAAAAAGTTGAAAGTTTAAAACAGGAGCATGATCAAGATAATTTAACCGACGAAAAATTCAATTTGCATCAAGATAAGTTTGAAACATTATACTTTATAGATCCAACAAAAGAATTATTTCATCCATTGTCTATAAATCCTAACATATCTGGATCTACATTACCCACATCAACTATTGATCCACGCCAGTTTAGTACATCATCTATAGATTTTCATCATTCACAACCAACTACTACTAGAATACGTAATTTTCTACCCTCTGATCAATGTCTTAAGAATTCTCTCACCGCATATGAATATACTGTTATAGGTACAAGTTGTTTAACAAACAATTTATCAACCAATCCACAGTCTTCATCTTTTCAGTCACTGTTTACTATTAATTCGGTGAATTCATCTAATACACCAATTGAGATTAGAAATACAAACGGTAATATAAATTTATCAGCCAATGAACAATTAGCAACATCCCCACCAACTGATAATGCCAAAACGCAAAATTACAGGATAACTATTACTACTAATAACAGTCCACATGATCTAAGTTATACAACTTCTATTACTCCTACTTCTCAGTCATCTCATTTAAAATCAACCAATGATTGTAGATCACAAGATCTATCTGAACGTATAGATGGGACACATATTGGTGAAAACGCATTCAATCGTATTAGAACAGTATTACAACCACCACAATTACAGATTAGCCTGTCAAAATTAAATTTACAACAGTATCACAAATTACAGCATGGCGAAGATTCTTGTACAGAATTAAATTTCTTACGTAGTCAAATCAATAATCCTAAGATACCATCCTGTTTAAATGATTATAACAACAACAATGGTGATGATGCGGATAGCTCATTGACAGAAACACAACTTTTACCCCCTGTCATTAGTGCGTCAGATCAATTTCTATCAGATTTATCAACTGATCTAATAATAACCAGTTCAACAACTGATTCAGTAGGGGCAGCTGCATCAAACGTGATGAGTTATGTTCATCAAAATGGACCATTAACTTACGGTAATCCAGAACAACTGAAACATTTGAATTGCTTAGATATACGTTCGTTGAATCATTGGAATACAATTGATTTGAGCTTAAATGGAAGTTTAGATCAAATAACAAATTATCGTGAATCACAAACCTATGATCCCATTATTAGTACCAATACTAACAGTACCGATAACAATAATAATGGTAATAATGATAATGGGAGTAACAATGACACGGATAATAACCTTAACCATAGAATAAATAGCGGTATATTGAGAATAGATGAGGCAAACAATTTGCTTAAACTACAACAACATTATCAACACTACCACGACCACCACCAACAACAACGGCCACCACCACAGCTTCAAAATGTAAATAATTCATTACTTTTAAACTCAAGTGCCTTACAAACAAATCATTTAAAACATTATAATGGTCTGATAACTACATTCAATCTTGATGATGCTAGCTCAGAATTTCATAGTAATAAAGATAATGAACTGAATCATATTAGTACAACAACAAATACTAGTCAGGTAACAAGTGATAATGCAGCTCTCAGTGCTGTTACTGCTGCCGCAGCAGCAGCTGCTGCTGCAGTTGCCGCTGTTAATGTGACTAATGCACCAATGCACCAAATTAATAGTGAAAACAGTGTGAATATAAGAAGTACTACTGATGGCCTAATCCATACTTCGAACAATGATTGTAGTAATAATAACAATATCACTACTAATAGTAACAATCTAATAATGTCGATTCCATTTCTAGAAAATTTCGATCTCAAACCTACACAAACACAAAACTGTTATAATTATCATCATTCTGAAGGCAGTTATAAGCATGAATTAAAAAGTCAAATATCAGGTATCTATTATTGAACTGAAATATGTCTTTAGTTTCATGCATCAAGTTAGATACATTCTGTTTAGTATTATTTTTGTTACCATTATTACATTTGGTTTTTACAGCAGAATTAAATTTATCAGGGATGATAAATTAAGGTGTTACCATATTCCAGCCAACAGTGTCGAAGTCTGTTACTTCATCCTATGCTAAATAAATTAGTAAACTTCACTTTCAATCAAATAGAAACTTCGTTTCCTTGTGTGTCTAAGCAATTTGAAAGTCACACCTTATACGAATGAAATACAAGCTGTTTAAATATTCATGATTTAAACAGAGAGCAAATTGAAACAGGATATTCAAATCCAGTAAGGCTGTAAATGTTGGTTTGAGTTGTGTAAGGGAAGTGTAGACTGCCCGGTTGAGGTCCTAGAGACAATACAAATCACTGGTTGGAGATTCTTGGTAACATATCTGAAAACCGATCACACTGGCGCAGACTTACTTACTGTTTGATGTCTTCTAAAGCTTGAATACTTTGAATGACAACTATTAAATTCCTTCTCTTCCCATATCGCGAACTGACATGATGTAGGAAACTGTGAACCACTGAACTGCAACCCAGTGACTGGACGGTTAACGCGTTTCCTATGGAACCTGAAGGTAATGAGTTCAGGCCTTGATGGGACCGGGTTGTGAGTGTTTTTTTCTACTGAGAAGTCCCGTAGCAGGACGAAATAGATGTTCACTTCTTTCAGGTTTTCAACGCTTGTCCAACTGATGTCAGTCCATAATAAATACTACCTTAAGAATAAAATCTGCATAAACCAAAAACTAGATAAATAAGCGTATTGCTTTAAAACCTTTCAAAATCTGATTAACTTCAGATAGTCATAATTCATAACAGAACAAATAGAAAATTTTCAATACAGCCGATAACATGATGTTAAAAAGATGTAAATAAAAGGAAGAATAAATACTTTTATGAGATATGCAGAAGTTTCATCCAGGAAAAATGTGACAACGTCAGATTTTCCGCTTTGATCTGTTTTTAATCATTCCAGCTGATCTCTTCTAGCCTTTCAGAGACTTCAGTCACATTATGTGTCTTCTTACATATACATGGTTCAGAGTCATAGTTAATGGGTTCCCATCAAGTTTTTAATCTTAAATTAAACATAGATGACGGAAGAATGAAAATGAAACGTTTTGCATTTTATAATACATATTTAGTATGTTTCGACGTTAATGGTGATTTTCTTTTCAAAGCAGTATTCATCACGGACTGAGATCATTTGAACAACCATTGAAAACCTGGGAGAACTGGACAGCTGTTTCATCCTACTATGGGACTCCTTAACGGCAAGCCCCTCCAAGGTCTGAACCCAGGACTTCCAGGTCTCGCAAAGAACGCATTAACCATTCAGCTACTGGTCGGATTTCAATGATTCACAGTCACCCACTTCATTTCAATTTGCTATATAGCGTAATCATTCACCAGCATCTTCAGTTGGCATTCGATTCCCCCTGGTTCGCCCCACAGATCACATATAGATTCTCATTAGAACTTCGGGATATCCATCTCAACGTATATCACTAATGTGCGTTAACTATACAGTAATGTAGTTTGAAGTTGACGGGGACTTTATTTCTTAAGCAGTGTTCATCCTGGACTGGATCGGATTAGTATTATCCAAGTGAGAAGATAGATTAAAGTATCTCACAAATGAACTGATAAATAAGAAAAGTGTGCAAATAAGTAATCCGTAATACAATACAAGTTTACTCATAACTAAGCAACAAGCAGTCATTTCTACAAATTCTTACAGACGAATAGGTGTAGAGGATTATTGGACTATTTATCTCCAACATAAATGATACTTCTTTTTTATGTAACGTAAAGTGGCTAGTTATTAATCATCTAATTTATGGTTTCCGAGGTCTAATAAGGATTCGTAAAACACTGGTCTGTAAATATCATTCACAAGGCGACACTGTTGATATGGCCAATTATTCATGCGCAACAAAATACAATATGCAACAATTTCCTGTACTCTAAGTAAAATCAGAAGATTTGAAAAGAATACTGGTCTATGAACAAGAACTTTTTTGATATATTGCTTGCATGTAATGGTGTTTAGAGGTCGGGCTGCGAATTCAAAGCAGAGAAAGTAAAACAGTCTGGGAAGCTATGAACTTGTACCAGTTGACACAGATGAGGCGCATGATATCGCTAGTCTGCATCTATTATGAGCAACAATTAATTTTATCTAGAAAAGGCTGAGTATGAAATACACTCAGGTTCTCTTATATGCCTAGTGATGTCATGGATCTACATTGACTGAAGGCGTTTTGGTATATACTATGCATGCCAAATAGCTGTCGACAGCAAGCAGTTAATTAGGCTAAAATAGGTTTAGAATGCAATTTTACTGCGGCGGGGAAGGGGGGGCGTCAGACCTGGCAATCAAAACATTTTTAGTTGGAACCCAGTATCCTGAGCGTTTCATTACAAAAAAACTATGGGATTGAAAGCAGATAAATATCCTCCTTCCATGATTCTTAAGAAGCCCCTTTTCATGGATTGGCAGTTCGATGGAGACCGTTTTGTATGTTCACTGAAAAGAGACTTTCTAGGTTGCCAAACTCGGACCAACTTTCCCTATTTACTTAGTGCTTCGATTATGCATAAAGGATAGCCTAGCTCCTCTGGTTACCTCTATATATGTTTATCAAATCACCTGTTCCTGTAAAGTAAGGTATATTGGTCGTGCTCAGCATTGCTTTCTAGAAGTATTTCGAAACACTTATCAGCCTGGTTCCACAAAGGAAAAAGTAGAGCACTTCACAGCTATATTAATTAAAATTTGATTGATTCTGGCCACTCAATAATTGCAGAAAATAACTTCGGTGTCATCTACTACGTTCGTACATGCCTGTTGAAAGCTGTACGTCTGAAACTTCTTCAAACAGCAGAAGCCATAGTAATTTATATTTTGAAGGCCTAACTGCGTTCAAAACAAATTTTCCTAGTCATTCGAGTTGAAATGAACAGAGCCTCTAAGACCATTTTACCCAGAAAATTCTTTCTTTCCATCTGCTTACTAGCATATAATGTCTTCTCACACATCACATTCTTTCACCCTTAAAATTCTGATTTCTCGTTACATTCATCGTCTCCTTCAACTACATGACTTAATTTAACTCAGTAACCATATATTGCTTCGGTCTTAATTAATCTTCTCATTACTACTTCAAATATTACGGAATCCTTTTTTCTATCTCCAGATTTGTAGTCGAAACTGAATTTCGTTCAGAAATATTTTATGAAACATTCCTTTTCTGTTGTCATGTGAATATAGCATTTATATTCTGTTGTACAGCTTGAGAAGGGAATAGTTGAAAAGAGTCACTCTTCGCTGAATAGTTTTTGTTTTTCGTGTTGTTTTTACTTTGTTTCTGGGTGTCTGACCATTACACTACTTTAGCGTAGTTGTTAATACTTTACTGCTGTTTATATGTCTTTTTTGTATTTATTCTGCTATCTTTCTCTTTCTATTAACTACTCCTTGCGACTTTACGAAGTTTGACGCCTTGGTCGACGGGATTTAATGTGAGACTGCTTGTCAGACCTCTCTATTTATCAGTTCTACATATGGTAGCTTTTAGTTGAATAAACCACCACCATTGTCCAAAAATTGACAATGGTTGGGGTATACAGATTGAGTAATAGTGTGAAGAAGTATGAACGTCACAGTAACTCTTATTCCTGTGATAGCTGGGGAATAAATTAGATGGTTGAAGTGGATTTTTGATTTCTTTAACGGTTTGGTCTTTAGACAATTGGTTTGGATTTTGATCCTTCCTCGTTTAGCCACAATCTATGGATAATAAATGGATGAAATGTGATGAAGTTATATGGAATACATGGTATCACTCTCTAACTACTGTTATATGAGGTTTCCTGCTTGGCATTTACTAGGAGACAGAGTTGGGTGGTTGAAGACTGAAGGTGATATAGCTCAGAATTATACATAGTCATATAGATGGTGTCATACCCTTTAATCATCCTGATCGTACACTCAAATAACTTTACCTTCTCTTCTGTCTCATGGTGTCTTGCTATTGGGGCATAAACATCTTGGAGGCTAACGGGTTTTTTATTTTTAAGTTAATATTCATCATAGAGTGAAATCAGTTGGAGAACTACTGAAGATTTGGAAGCACTGGACAGCTGTTCCATTTTAGTGTGGGGCTTTACAGCAGTACACACCAAGACCGAATGATGTCAGTCTGTGATAAACCTCAAAATACATTACTGCATCGTGCTGATTAGGGACATGCTTCTAGATAGATATCCCGAAGTTCTAATGAGAAGCCGTGCGTGACGTGTGTAGTGAAACAATCGAAAGCGAAGTGGATGCCAGTTGAAGACGTTGGTGGTTAGACACACTATGTGGCGAACTGACATGATGAAGTAGGCGACTATGGATAACTGAACTCTGACCCAGTGGGTGAGTGATTAGCACGTTCGCCGTAAAGCTTGACGGTCCTTAGTGTGATGCCCAGTGGCGAAGGGCGGGGCATGGCGGTGTCGCGGGGCATCCTACTGAGGAGTCCTATCGTAGGACGAGGAAGTTGTCCAGTTCTCCTAGGTTTTTAATAGTTGTCCAAGTGATTTAAGTCTGCGATGAATACCACCTTGAAACTATATGGGAGGACAAGGGTCCGTATTTCCTATATGCTCTCTATGAACGGACACCTCAGTATTATTTTTGGTGTGATTTGTTTTTGTAATGGAATCATGGATTATATGCTGTAGAAATGGGAAAATCTTGAGAAGAAATTGATTTTATGAACTGATAATTCAGGAAATAACATTTTCCAGTGAGACTGTTTGGGATACCCGTGATTTTGCAGATTGGTGTTTTCTTACTGGATGATGAATAAAGATGAAATGCAAGCTTGACTCTTTGTAGAATTCAAGGTAGCGCCCTCCGGGTTATTGGCGTGATACTGTAGCAATTGACTTACTATACTCATTTGCTGGTTTATCACTGAGCGTTTTGCCGAACTGCCATATGAATCCATGATGTGTAACTGTCCACCCCCTGCAGTCGCACTGGATGTCCGGTCAGGTATTCTTAATAATAAACAATATGTTGCTTCCCCTTTGTTATACAGCCCCATTTGGATTGGGATGAGAAGACCTCGCTACACAGCCAATGTGAACACGATGAACGGACAGTTATTTGTCAAACATACAACCGTGTAAACCCCTCAGTGACTGAAAGGAAGTTAAAACCCGCTCAGCAACTGGGTCTTGTAGCTTAATTGGTACAACGCCAAGCCAGTGATGCAGAGTCCCCTAGTTCGAGTCCTGCCGTGACCAAGGTTTACATCTTACTTTCAGTCATTACCCAGTGTCAATAAATTTCCTCTCCAACGTTGTTTTAAAAAAATTCTTTCAGTTGGATACTATGGTCAGCTAATCTTGCTACTAGCTGACACTAGAGTGACTTTAAAGGCCACCCTAGGAACTGCTGAGAAAACCAATTACATTACCTTATTTTTTAAAAAACTACCACCCCAGCGGAAATGGCGAAAACTGATTGGTTATTTTAGAGGTTGCTAGTGTGGCCTTTAAAGTGAATCCTAACAGCAAGTGTTCTCTTCGTCAAACAAACAACTTAGGCATACTAGGACGAAACAGCTGTCCAGTGCTCCCAGGTTTCCTTTGTTCCTCCAACTGATGTCAGTCTTCGATGAATAACAACTTGAAACTTAGGCATATTGTTAAGTCTAATTTCAACTGATTTTTGTTTTGTATGTATGTGATTTGAATATCGTCCAGAAAAATAAAATAGGTCAAAATAAATGATTCTAGGTGAGTAAAGCTGACTAGATAATCAGTGTGGTTAGTTTTGTTGACAAGTTGGGTAATCTGTGTATTTGTATTGTAACTACGCAGAGTAATCTTTGTTGAAAAACTGAGATACAAGGATGTTGACTAAAAGTTGAATGAAAACCCAGATTTCATGAGAATTCGAATAGGTGTTACCTTGGCTACCAATCTGGAATTCAGTTTGACTTAGAATCACCATGCCCGATTTTAATCAGTCTGGATTGGTAATAAAAGGTGTCCACACTGTTGTGGATTCTCATAATAGGATGAAACATTTGTTCAGTACTGTGAGGCTTCTAATGCTTCTCTGAATAATGTCAGTCAGTGCTACAAACAACTTCCGAATAGTTTCATGCACCTTATATAACAGGTGCAGTTAATACTCAGTGAATAGCCTTAAAATGAGAATTGTCTATCATTTTGAAAAACTGGTCTTGTAGGTAAAAACGACTGTGCAGGACTTTCAGCAACTGAATTAACTTTTTATTCTAAGACTCCTTATCTCATCTGAAGAATACTAAATTGGGGGTTTTATTACAAGTGATTATTGCTCCTAACCTACCCTAATACTCGCTCTAATTGTAATTCACTAGTCTACTGACTTATTGTGAACATATCATGAAAAATCAATACAAACTACAATCACATCTTATCCAGCATTCCTTTATCACGGTTCCATTAAGCCGCTTTTTGTAAGATACAGAGATGTGATGTCACTTACTACTTACTGCATTGTATACATATATTCTGAATTTCTCTTAGACGGTTTGAGAAGCATGAAGTTTAGTATCACCACATGTATAGTGAAACTATATGAATAAAGTCGTCAGTGAGCCAAGAATGCTATTTTTACTTGTAGTTTCTAAAGTCTAAAGTATTTTAACAAGTTTTATTGTTATATCCAGTTGTAACACTACGAAAATTAGGATTGTTTGATATTCATCATGAAATATTATAAGTTGGAGAATCATAGGAAACCTGGGAGCACTGGACAACCGTTTCGTCTTAGTATGAGATTCCCCAATGCTGCACACTTATGACCTCGCCGGAGATCGGAATCAGCATCTTCAGGCTCAGCCACTAGGAGTCGCATGCTAGGAAGGAACAACTCTTCAGTGATCCCAGATTTCTAATGGTTCTCCAACGGATATCAATCCGTGATGAATATCAACCTGGAATCAGTAAATAAATCCCCACAAACCTAGTTGGTAAATTCTAGATTTATCTTGATAATAGATGTGAAATGATAAGGAATATCTACAGGTTGAATGAACAAACAAAAAATGTAGGGTGTTGTAATAATCTTGCCTGTTAATGAATCACAGATCCATCCTTCTCCACTATAGTCTCACTAACGATTGGCACTTCTGCCCCAATTTCCTTAATTAGTCTAAATAACTGTCAGGACATATCGACTGGACGTAAACATTTACGCGAATAAATAGTTTTCATACTAAACTTTTATTAACGATCCACATTTTATCATTTTGTTTTACAGAAACTTAACTACTGCTTATTGTTTTTTACGTTTGAAAAACATCAGGACTGTATTTGCCAAATTATTCTATCAGTTCGCCTAACTATGCACTTAATTGTAAAAACATGTAAACGCTTTTTAAGAAGACATTTAAAAAACGAATACTCCAGACTTGTAAGATTAAAAACAGTGTATGGAATGATTCACCCATTAATTCAATTTTTAGTAAGAATGGTGATTTTGAGTAGTATTAGAAATGAACACTAATTCAGTCCGATGTCAACTATAGTAGGAGTTAAGTTAAATGAAGGTTGAACGTGTTCACAATTAGAACATGAGAACAGTTGATGAAGCCATTGATTGTTTGTCTAAGTTATGTGAAGATGGATACCCTGACTGTCGTCTAGGATCGTTAAGATGGTTGGAATCGATGGTTTATGGTGGTCCAGATATGTTTCTACATCAATCTCAGTGGTATTAGGGTGTTTATCAATCATCATCTTCAACATTCTAAACGTATGACTTCACTTTCTTATTCTTATGATTCTTACATCCTTTTCTATTTTAAATGTGAACTCTCCTTTGGGGATGATGTTAGATAGTCTGGGAAACTGAACTAATACACTTTTGTGTTAGCAATTGTACCTTCTTTCTACTTGCTTAGTTTGCATTCCCTGTGGTATCGGTTATAGAAAAATAATATTATTTCAGAGAAGTAGTTACAAAATAGACAGAATTATGAATGCATAATTCAACCAGACAGTAACCTTTATTACCGTCTCACTAATAGTGGTTACTACCAATATCGAATGTGTTAACCAAATATCGATACCTCAGTACAATATACTAAAGAATAACTTGAATGGTAAGAAACCACTCAGGCTGATCTACTGATTTCACCAGGCATTAAGATCAGAGTGATTTAAACATAGGACGACTGTTACACTCGTTTGAAGCTGAGCTCAGCAACGGTGTACCCAGTTAAATTCAGATCATGCAGCCGAATTTTTGCTGATCTGGTTAATGAGGTCTACAGATCAGCCTCAATAGTTTGTAACTACTCAAGTTGTTCAGTAGTAATATCTTTCGGTAATTCATCACACTTGTGTCAGAGATCATACACTCTGATCTTCCAATAGAACCCTGTTCATGCCGGAGTTAGACAGTTGAAAATCTACTCAGATGTGAGAAATGTCAATGTGGTCAGTGCCATTTATAAATCATTTGCAAACTGGTCATCTTAGTAACTTACCATGACTAATTTTGAGCAAGTGGTTGTTGGATTATAAATATATATAGCAGTGGAACTCAGAGTACCCGTTTCGTCCTATTTTGAACTGATTAGCCGGATGTACCTGCCTGCCGGTGAGTGGTATTGTCTCAACGTGTGTCTTATCTTCCACTGCTAGCCACTATCCATCACTAATATAAAATTGAAAAGACAGGCAATATCATGATATCTGCACAGAAGCCCATATGGCCATACCGGCCGATCAGTCCGGTCCAGTGAACAATGGCAACAACATGAGTTATATATCTGCCTAGTGTTCATTTTTCTGATAAGATCACATCATTGTATGTGTAGTGTACAAATTCCTAGTACCGTTCAACCTTTGACAAAAATTTTCTTAGCATTTGAGTTATTTTTAATGCATGAACTTGAATCATTACTATGTAATAAATCTTAGCAACCACAATAGTGTTGTACTCAAGAAGTTAAACATTATCTTTATGCCCTAAATATGTGTTGCTTTTTGGTGGGTTAATTCTTTTAAACAAAACATCATTTTATACTTTTAAGGTGTACAACATATACAAGGAAATGCGTGTCATCCAATGCTTATGAATGGTTCATTGGGTCCACCAAATAAAAATACTGGATCATTAAGCCTACAAAAAGCTATGTCGAATATGTATTCTCGACATGACTTAATTCCACATTCTATTCAAGAGATGGAAGAAATTAATACAAAAGTATTAGCTCAACGCATAAGTGCTGAGCTGAAACGTTATAGCATTCCACAAGCTGTATTCGCTCAACGTGTTTTGTGCAGAAGTCAAGGTACATTATCTGATCTATTAAGAAATCCCAAACCATGGAGTAAATTAAAATCTGGTCGTGAAACGTTTCGCAGAATGTGGAAATGGTTACAAGAACCAGAATTTCAACGAATGTCTGCTCTACGTTTAGCTGGTGAGTTGTTTCAGATGTTCAGGTTTAAAATATTTATTTACCAATTTATTTATTTATTAACTAATCAGCCTATTAAATTAACCTTTTGACTGGAAAAGAGAAGGGAAATATTATGCAAATATCTACAGATTTTCTTACTGAAGACGCCTTACATTAAATCACTTTGTCTGGTATACCACTGTTAATTAGACCATCTTCAGGTAGCTTTGAGTGGTAAACTTATCTGTCTATTCGGTACAGATTTTTTAAACGTGGTAGAAAATCTGGTTTGTGGTGAAATTTGAACCAGCCGTTTCACGGGACATTATCTCCCAAATACGTGATTTACTCTAAGTCAGTACTTTCCAGGTAATGAGGCTATGTGGAAGACTGTTGTTGAGTAATGTAGGTCATCAAACTACCTTTGGTAGTCGGCAGTCTGCTTCAAATCAAGTAAACGAAATAATGTAAAGAGCACTTTGTGGAACGATTTAGATGGTCCAAGATTTTTCTGTAGTAACTTACCACGAAACCCAAGTTTGAGTTAGAATGCTTTGACATATGTCTTAGATATGTCAGATGTTTAGCTGCTCACTAACAAATTTGTGCTACCGCCTCGATTAATAAGGGAGACAGTTGTTAAACGTGTTGGTTGTTTCATTTAGGCTACTGGTATCATGGCTTTTGTTATTCTCTAATTGTTTCTTTGGTCATTTTCTTTTACTATTCCATTTTTGAATTATGTTAACTTAGAGTGACAGATGATTGATTTTGTTTACGTACATAATTCTAGCTATATCTACTTTATTATGTGTTAATTTTACTGAAGCTCAAACAAATATTTAGATCTTAAAGCGTAGACTGGTCAAGATGGTTTTAAATTCGCTGGAATACCCTAGAATACTAAGACATTAATGTATGAACCTATAGTGTAATGACATAATGAACTTTTCACGTCATTATAACGTTATACAACGCGGGATATACAAATGTAACTGTTGCTAGTGGTGTACGAATTTAAGGAAGGAAATATAAGTGTATTTAATGTGTATTTTACATGTCAGGTAGGTATTTTCGGACATCTGCTATGCGTCTATGACATACACGAATTAGAAGTCACTAATCTAAAATGTCTAACAAGTGACAGTGTGTATATACATACTGACAGTAAGATTTCAAACACAAGTTAACAAGTTTTGTAAGCTGACAAATGTCATAACTTACTCAGCTGACAATTACATTTTGCAGTATTCTTTTGAGTAGTTTTCACAGGAAAAAAATTTATACGATTCTATGTGCATTGGTTGGTCACTGTAGTGCAATCAATTTCATATTGTCTGGCCCTGAGTGCTGATGGAATTTAGCCGATCATTTTGCAACGTGACCATCAAGCTAGGTGCCTTGCCATAGTGGTACACTTTTGAGAGATGTTGGTTGGGTTTCCTCCCGATTACCTCCAACCAATTAACGCGATTCTATGCGCCAGAATCATTACAATCACTGTCGACGTACCTTGAGAGTGAAGCGCTAACGTTGTTCCGCGTTGTAATGACTTTATGGGATCGCTGGTTGTTCACCTTGAATAATGAGCAGAAAACTTACATTAGATATAATCAAAGATCTCAGTGTTAACTTGGTTTTAAAAATCTAGCTAGCACATAAGACCGAGTAACACTACATTGTTTTGGATCTATTGATATCAGTCATTTTAGAAGGTAGGTTACATTGCAAATAATCTCGTTTTGATGTCTTTTGCTATGGCTCCATAGTTAAATAACAAGGATGGTTTGAATCAAATATACTTTGCTTATGCATAGGACAAAGTTTGAGACCGAGGTTCATGGTTTCCTCTGTAATGTCTTCAACTATGTAACATCAATAAAGACGTTCGAAGTAAAAGTAAGAGCAAAGTGGTTTCTTTGCTTATGTGAAGTGAAATGTGGAAGTTATATTTTGTCACATACTACGTTTATAAGCTGAATATAATTATTACTTGTCATCATATGAAGACTTACAATCTTAGAATTTTTATAATATGCTATTACTTAAATCACATTTTCATCAATAGCTGGGAGTGGATATGCCACACATCTCAAAATGTTCAGCCAGGCAATAGCGAAAAAATATTCTTCTGGTTATTGTCGAAGAATTATCTGTTTTCCTAAAAATCTGATGAGGGTTAGTTGGTATTGTGCTTAGGTGTGATATCCCCATAATTTTAAACAACATACTCCACGAAGTGTAAATTAACAGTCTCGTTAATTAAAATTGTCCAGAAATCAATTTAAACAGTTAATCCTGAGATGATGAATTTGCGAATGATTTACACATGGCATGGTTCATTTTAGCATTTCCAAAACAGGCGAAACGGCCTTCCAGTATATATATCACTCTGAACTGGCTGGTGAAATCTACAGGTCAGCTTGAGTGGTTTCTAACTACACAAATTATTCAGTTGATCGTAGCCAGAATGAACTTCATATTTTGCACCCGATGAATAAATAATAAATTAAATGACTTAACTCAATACGGTAGATATATTTATGCATTCAACTATCAGGTATATTTATTTTGTGACGGCTACTATCCAGCTGCTTATGCCGAATTATGTCGGGCGGGTTTCGAATTTACGATTCGATGCTTGAAAGTCTATTATGTAAGTCAATGAACTACAGCTTTACATATTATAAACGGTCTTTTCTGTGAAATCTCACTTCACTCATATAAACTGCGAAGAAGCATTACAGTCATCCATTTTTAATAAAACAACTTAAAGTCCATTGAAAATAAGAGGATTTTTCTATTTTTATCTTGTTGCTTGCATTATCCCATGGTTGGCTGGACTGAATTGGTCAGTGTCTATTGGCCTATGGGTTCCTGTGTGAATGCCTCGATAATGCCTGTAGTTTTGGCTTGGTAGTAATGCTATATGGTGGTACCAGCGGAACCCCGGAGGTCCGCTTCGTCCTATTTAGTGCTCGTCAATTGAAAGTGCCTTCCTCCCAGTTAGCAATGTTGTTCCAGTCAACACTCGATTCCGAAACCGATTGCTCCAAACGCCAGGAAGTGGCTATCGTAACTCGATGACCCGGTGGATAACGTCCTGATGTTTAGAGCTATAAGTCCCGGATCTAGGTCTTTTCCAGAAAAAAATAGTTCACTAGGAGGTAGATGCATGTGAATGGCGAGTTATAAGTAAGATGAAACGCTCCTCCTGGATTCCACTGCTATCCACTATCCATCACTACTGCCAAATCAGAGGATTCTTGATAAATTTGAAGTTGTCGCTTGCTATAAATTGATTTCGGTTAGATACTAACGTCTTTTACAACTGCTTAAGGACATTCTGAAATTTTTGAACAGTTTTCAAACATAGCTCCACTTAGAAATCAGAAATTATATTTGTGAGCCCGTGGTGTGGATTTCCACAGGGAATCGCTGATGCACTGACTGATGTCGATCATGGCACTCAAACACTGAAACCAACTAAAACACTAGCAAAAACAACAACTAAGTATGAAAATAGCTTTATTTATGGATAAAATAAAAAAAGATATCAGACTTCTTAGAATTGTAACTTATTGGTTTAATCAGTTTATAGTCAGAGGATGGGTGATAATTTTAGACTGTACTTGGACACTGTGATAGAGTACAGTACTATATTAGATTGTTTACTCGATATCGGACACGGTGGTGTAGTATTAGTAACTGAATGAAATTTCAAGAAGAATTCATTGTTCATAATTATATCACATTTCACTGTGTGCTAGACAGTGAATTGAATTTTACTTCATCAATAGATATTTAACTGGTTTTAGCATGGTATTTATAATTCACTTGAAAATGGCTAGCGGTGGAATGCAGGATGCGTGTTTCTTCATAAATGGCACAGGCACATCCAAATGACGAGTACCGTTTAGGACGAAACGCAGGACCTAGATTCCACTGCCAGCCACTACCAAGTAAACTATGACAATGAATATCCTGTCAATTAATCAAAGTAATTGTATGTGGAATATTGAATGAAAAGGAGTGACTTTAAATGCCATCGTAACAACTACTGAAATAACCAGTTAGGGCTCTGTATTTCATGAAAAGAAGTGCACTCACCCACCTTGTGCATATTCGTGCAATGGGCAACAAGCTATATCTGTTGTGTGAGGGCTAGTGATACTACCTGGTTGCCCAAACGTCAGTAGGGGGTGGGACTCAAACCCGTGACCCAGTGGTTAACAGTCATCTCCCTAAACCACTGAGTCAGCAACACAGGGAAGATAGACAAACCTAATCGGTTGTTTCGGTGGTCGCTAGGGTGGACTTTAAAGTCCCTTATAAAAAGAGTCGTTCGATTTGTAATCTTGTCATCTTCATGCATTGGAAGGGATACTTCTATCAGTAAACGTGTTTATACTGTCTATTTAGCATCATCTTATACAAGATGAAAGGATGGAAATAGTAATCGTAGGGTAAATAAATTAATCTTACTCTTTTTCGAGAAAAAAGGTTTTGTCCGACTGCCGTATGAATTCGTGACACGTTACTGTCGCTTGGTCGTACTCACACTGACTGCCGGGTCAGGACTTCTCACCCCAATCCAAATCTACTTGAATTGGAGATGGGGAACATCATATTGATTATCAGTTTGACTATGTGAGATAGTCGTGGTTCAGCAGATTTGTCTTGATACTGGATGATAATTGAAGATGACATGAAAATCTGGGCCTCAGGAAGATTCGAACCAACTGGGTCTCGTAGCTCAGTTGGTACAGCACCGGACCGATAACCTGGAGGCCTGTCCTTCGAATCATGGTGCTACGCAGATTTTCATTTCACCTTCAATCATCACTCACTATCAATACATGTCTGCCAAACCACTTCTATCTCAGATAGTGAAACTGATAGAAAAAATCTATCTGTACGTTGATCTGTATAAATATACTACTATTTGAATACACTTTAAAATTCTGTTTTATTTTCTGCTGTCTTCTTTTGCAGAAGAAATTGTTATTTATTTATTTTTG